TGATGCTACCCTTGGTGCGATCCTCCAGAGTTTCCGCCCGCTACAACCAGCGACATTAGGGAGTGGGCGGAAACTACGGAGCTCGCAACCAGGCTAAAGCATAATTTGATTCATCGAAGGAAGTTTTCACTCAGTGAGTACTTGTAACTGTTACATGTAGTTTGGACCAGAGGGCCCCAGAGGTCTTACCTTCCGGTCAGTGGTGGTTCCTAATCGATCCGGCTTTTCAGTTTGACCAAGGAGGTTTGAAGATATTGCAAACCGCTCTCTATGCAGTGCACTCATCTAAACAAAATGGTGGACTGGTGTAGATAATTAGGTATGTTGGGGTTAGAGTTCACGTAGACTTGAACAACCTGATTATCCGCTTCTTGAGGATCCTTGAGGTCGCTCGCTGACGCCTTTACCATGTGTAAAAAAAAACTCCACGGAGAATGAAACCACGTCGAGGACAAATTTAAACCAAGTCGACATAGGTATAAACGGAAATCAAAGAAATGCTTTGCGAACGCTGAGTAATCTCCAAGCAGATCCCTATCCATTTATAGCCAGAGAAAGGTCGCCGGCCACCGACGGGTGGGGGTACCGACAAAAAGGGCCATATATAAAAAAAATTAACGATCATTCCCCCACAACCTCTGCTTGTAGAGTAGATGCTGAGCACGAGGACATCAAGGGCAATCAAGATGTAAATTTCCCGCCAGATTCTATGCGCAAAGCATGCCGGTCCCAGGTCTTGTCAGCCGTGTCCGGGAGTGTTCGCTGTCGTCTGCAACCCAAGGGGGATTCTGGATTGGGCTCGTATAATTTTCTCGTTTTTAGGTTATCGTTCAAAACCCACAACATGTTCCGCAGGAAACTCGCAGCTCTAGAATACCACCAACCGAACAGTTTTAACATTGCAGGTGGGCATTGCGCGTTATGTAGTTTGACTAGTGGTAGTTCGGTGAAAATCTGTCTTAACGCCCCCCCTCCCCCCGTTTGACTAGTGGGTAGTTGGTGAAATTTTGAAGAGATCTGTCCCTGCAGCCCTCCCCCTATCTCCAGCGCGGAAGAGCACCTGTCTGGGGCAACATTTGATGAAGTGGTATCACTATCAGTCTTCTGTCATTTGCAGGAGTGTATTTCAGCTCTGCACTCAGCTCTACTCTGCACCTGAATATACAGTAACACGTTAACGTTAACATCACATCTTTTTATGGTCTTCTCATTCAGTTTTGTCATTCAAATAAGGGACACAGTTGATGATGAAGGGACACGTTGAGCACGAAGGTTTGAACCTAATTTGAGTGCAAATCATTTGTCTGAGATTTACCAGACGAGTACAAATGTATATCAAAATATTTTAACAGGTAACAAAACTGAAATGATGATAACTGAAGCAATGGAAATTGCCATTCCCATGTAACATTTATTATCGGTCTGCCTATTTACCGGAATACACCGGAAAACACAGTTAAACACCGGAAAACACATATAGGAGGCTAAAATCTACCGGAATACACCCTGCTTAGACGAGATAACATCCCAAATTGCTGTGTTTTGCCATTAAATAGCGTGTAAATCGCCGCAGGAACCCGGCAACAAGAAATCATTATAATTTAGCGATCGGTGGAGGCGACCCGACCAGTCGCCATGTTTGTTTACATTGCGGACTACGATGTTTGTTTAGCGCCATCACAGAAGAGAATTGATTATTCAGATTGATGCGGTTCCCATACACACAACTCCGAACTAGTTGGAAGAAAGATAGTTGCATAGGATGCCCGTGAATGATTGCTACGAGGTCGGTCTGTTGGATAAA